AACACCTATCTATAGCGCAATTCCTTTAAAAGTTATGGTGAATACCGATAGACAGAAATTTTCTTTTTTGCTCATAACTTTTTTACAGGTTTTGGAATACTTTAAGATGATTAGGCAAGCCAAAAAATATTTAGTTTAATAATATATTAATATTATAAAAATAATATATCAATACTATAATAAATAAACATAAAATATTGATTAAAACCACTCTAGCGTAATGCTTTTCCATGCCCACGAGATGGATTGTTGTCAACGGGTGACGTCATGCGCAAACGTGGTCGAAATAGGGACCGTGTGTGAAATATAGAGGCAGCACTACTGCCGAAGTTAGCCCTCTCTAGTGTTTAATTTTAGAATTAAATGGGGTAAACATTGCAAGTAAATAATAAAGGATATTTTTTAAAATATTAAATATAGTTAAAAATAGATACCGGCCCGTACCAAACAATCGTGTACATGGTCAAAATGACGTAAAATGTGAAACATTAAAATCTGGACATGTATATACATTTTAAGCAAAAAGATTTAAATGGCTAAGTGACAATAAATTGTAAAGTTGTACCTTAAACAAGTGTATCCAATGTAAAAATATCGGTATTTAGTAACACTGAATTTAAAAGTATTACAATAACATTTAAAAAATGTAAATTAATTAAAAAGGATTCCCCACTCGACCATTCACTGTTGGGTTCTAATTAACAGTGCTGTTCCTAAAGTGGCGCAAGGAAACAGTAACAAGGCCTGTCTGTAGGGGTGTAGGAGTATTAGAGTACTAATACTCCTGCACTATGGAGTATTAGACTACTAATACAATCCATAACCTACATAGAACACTAGGCTAATGACCTTAGATGTTGAAGCCGTACACCAAATAAAAAAAAAAAAAAAAAAAAATAATAAATCTGTTTAGCTTTGTTAGTCGAAATGTCATTCATCCACTGACGTTTATGAGATGTCCAATGATACATATTATAGATTGCTCACCCATTTATAAAAAATTATGAAAAGCGGGTTGCAATGTGTCTTTCCTAGTGCTCACTAAATAGAGCCGTTCTAGCCCAAATGTGTTTTAAAATAAAATTTTAGCATTTTAATCTTTAGAAAAAGAAAATAATTAAAGTTTTACTTCAAGACATGTTATTATGTATTTGGAAAGTTGAGTTTCCATGTAGTTAAATAATATTAAGAGATCTAAACAATTTTTATAACAGATGGATATAAATAATTTTTTCTACGTTCATGCAAAAAACAAAACTTTATTGAACTATATTTAATGAAAAAACTGGGTCTTTATTGCACTAGTGCAATAAAAATTTTATTCCACTCATCTGTCATTTTACTACAGCGTTTTATGATCATGACAAACATAAATATTAAAATCAACGCCAAATATTTAGTCCATTTTCATTTTCTGTAGTACGTTTTAAAAACAATTGCATATTTTATATTATTTTCAATCGTTTAATAAATAAATTAATACAAAAATGTATTTTATTAAAAATGTCATTACAAATTATGAATACAAACGTAAATAAATGCCTCAAACAAAGGTAGACGATCACGCCTACTATGATTTGGATAATAGAACTGCAGTCCTATAAAACATTTTTTGGTTTTTGCATGAACGTAGAAAAAATATTGTATGCAACTCGTGCAAAAAGTGTTTATTGCACTTGTTGCATAATTAACTATTAGACTACTCTTATTTCAGAAATAATACTACATAAAATACATAATTGCAATATGTAATACAATTTTGAAAAGGTAATGTAAACAACTTTGAGGTGAGGTATAAACAACTTTGGTAAGAGTTGTAATTGGACACTTATCTATTATTCTGAATAATGTTTAATGGTAATGTCACTAAAAAAAATTTACAAAAAATCACTGGATTTTTAATATTTTAAAGTTTGTTGCAATCTCTTTTGACAGTAATTGCAATGTATTATTTATGATTTGTTTATTTTAATAATAAATTGTAAAGAGGGCCATGATATTTTTGTCAAATGGGACATTTTTATTTCATAATAAACATTCTACATTAGTTTTAATCAACAGAATAAACCATTAATTATCTGTAAAATTATATTTATATAAAAGGTTCATTTAAATATGTAAAAATCTTAATGACAAGAAAACACTAAAGATTCTAATTTCTAAACCGGTTCTGTAAATGATTTCTTTACAACTTAAGTGCTCAAAATTGATACAAGCTAGATAAAAAGAAAGCTTTGCCCAGTGAAATACGCTTTTCGTCGTCTGATTTACATATGGATAAGCAATCTTTGTAATTATGTATATCATTGGGTGTGAGACATTAATGGTTGTGCTCTGTGGAAATTTATAAAATTTATTTACTATCGAATGAAATCCAGGTTTCCAAAGTGATGTTTGTACATCCACGGATGCAACAAGTTTTTTCGATGATATTACGAAAATAATTCGACTTTATTTAATTAATAATTATTAAACAATAAATGCAGTATAAAACATTAATAAGTACCCCCCATAAAGTTCACATTTTTGTCACCAGTTAGCGTTAAAGTCATGACGCACGGTCCCTATTGGATCGTCAAGTGGGCTTATCTTCTCGAGTAATAGTATCATGGGCGCAAAACATTTTTTGACAATTAGTATCGTTTACAAAGAGTGTGTCCTCGAGTACGTCATGTACGGTGTATGGACAAGAAACACCAAGTTTAATAAAAACTATTTTATAGATTATTTTTTACTTATTTAATTAAATGTGACAATTACAAAGTTCACGAATAATACAAAATAACAAATACTTTAAAAAATATACAAATATACAAGATGTGAGAGAACTAGTTGATAGCATGTCACTTGCAAAAATTTTATGATCATTTTCTGCTTCTGGTTACGTAAATTAACATAACAGTCTTCATGTATCAATTAATATTTAAACTCAAGTGTAATTTGTCGGACGCTCCAAATATTTTTGTCCCTGCATACGTCTTGTTTATTATAGGGTAGAAAATTTTGAAAAGGTAGGATGTTAATCTATATTTTTACATCAAATTACCTAAGTTGGTATTAGAGCTAAATATCTGTTTGAAAGGGACACTTTTGTAGGTAGAGAAGCGGGCACTGATTGAATAAATAATTCGCAACCCTTGTTCTATCTCTCATGTGTATTAAGTGGGGGATCTGTAGAGGTACCTTCCAAGTAGCAATTGTGCTCTAACCGTTAACAAATAAATAATTTCAAATTACGTAGTAGAATTTTTAATTTAATTTTTCCTATACTAAACTTGAAATGCAGCATTATACTATTTTTTGCTTGGTAAGTGACATACTCACAACTGTTACAATCACGAGAGTTAAACTGGTTCAAAAGTACACACATTTTAAAATCATACATATTTTCATAAGAAGACCACATATTATGAAGATTGTAGATTGCATGTCGAATTGTTTTCATTTACCTGACTTAAAATCTCAGCTCAGTCTTATATCACAATTAAAAAATATACAAACATTATCTACAAAAAAGAAAAATTGTGAAAATATGTCCTATTTTAACCAGCGTAAAGTCGGGTGACTTTAACCCGCATGGGTGACTTTAGCTCAAATCAGTAGTTATTTTTGTTCACAAAAAATTATACGTCCTATTTTTAAAATAAAACTCATGCTGGTTGAACTGTAAGGTATTAAAACTACCCAAAACACTTTATTTAAAGACAATTGGACGCTTACGCTTTTTGTAGAATAAAAATTTAACTCGTTGCAAAATAATATGTGAAAAAATTTGTATGCAACCAACAATACTGTTGTTTTGTAATATTTTTTATTATATTTACCGTAAGCAATAAAAAATATTTTTTTAATGATAAAATGTGTTTTACTATCAACTGTGATGGGTGGCTTTAAACCAGCAAGTAATATTATAGACAAAACAAAGTAAAATTATGGGTAAGTCAAAGTCACCCTCTACCTGCGGGTGGCTTTGCACACCCCTTTTTTATTTTTTATTTGAAAAATTAGACCATTTGAGATATTTTTGCTTAATAATTTTTAAAATATAACTGAAGACTAAATTATGGCGAAAATGCGAATTTGGATTTGCTTTTATTTAATAATAATTATTGAAACTAGGTTTAAATTTGGACAGTGAGTCAAAGTCACCCGACTTTAAGGCACGCAAAAGCAATATGAATTTAGTTTTCTTTTATGATTTTCAAAGCTGACAGCTCACTTGACAACGCCGCAGTATGCAACGATTTTATAATAGTAGTTTATCTAACAAGTGTGAATATGATGGCCGAATCATTAGTTAAGACATGTGTACCGCAGGGGACTGAATTAGGACTTGTTTTATTTCTAATATACTTCAATAGTTTTAATCTAAAAAACTTCAAATGAAAAATAGTTTGCTATGCTGACGATACAGGTAAATCTTGGAATGAAGTAAAAATAAATAACAGAATAGTATATTAAAATACAAGTTGCAGAAGGCCATATATTCCCGCACGAATTCGAAATTTGGACACGAGCGACGAAGGAGCGAGTGGACGAACGAATGAGTGCAAGAACAGCCTTCTGCACCTTGTGTTGTATACTAGTTTTTAGTTTTTGGACTTTTATTTTTTGTGGTAGTTGTTAGCTGGGGATTTTTTCGCAAAATATGTCAATCCGTAACACTTAGTTACTAACCAACTGACAGGTGGAATTTTTTATTTACTAGCAAAGTAGTGAATGTCAACTGAAAGATACTAATTAGTTTTGTGTAAGTCACTAAATGTCACCAAAAATCATTTAAGAATGAGCTTCATTCTTCAACGATTTTGTGTGCGAGAATGTGTCATTCTTACACCAAAATCGAGTTGTCCATAGATTATCTTCAGTTAAATATCGTAAAGATACAATAGAGGACGTGTATGATAACTTACATTTTTTGTGCAAACCAGGTTTTTCTGTATTGTGAAGAACTAAATATAGTGATGATAAGATATTACAAAATAGAAGAAAATTTAAACTTACGGACTAAATACAACATTGTCACATCCTTCTACCTCCTTTACATACTTCATTACAGAATTTCTATAAATTTCACGGTATCTGAAAATAAAAAACAATAATGATTTCAAATCTTTAAATAAATTTTATGAAATTTCTAAATTTCAATTTCGCAAAGGTGTCTTTTATCGTTGTTGAACATTTAAGAGAATAATAATTGCGAAAAAACGGATTTATTATCGGAGAAGCCCACAGGTTGTACTTTACATTTTGCAACATTCTGATTGAAATTTGTACAAAAGTAATCAATCATAACGCAGTAGACATACAATACCGTACAAATCTGACGAACTTGGACCCGTTATTGGCCCGGGCCGGTCCGGACCCGGCCCATTATATCTATATGCACCTTAAGATTTAAATAATCAATGCAATTTTTTCTTTCGCCCACAAAAATGGTTTTTTGTCAATTTTCTTTCAGCTCTTAAACCCTCTGTATCATATTTCTATTCTTTCAAAATAGTACCTACAGTTGGATACACTTACGAAAATACGAAATGGTGATGTACTAACATAGATATCATACTTTCTAACAGCTCAACCAATAAAAACGCGCCAATATTAAATCTTCCAATCAAATCATAGATGTGATGCAATCTCTTTCTAAAGACTATTTCAATTTCATGTTACAGACAAAAGTAGAAACTATTATTTATCTAGTGTTTGTATGATCGAAGGATGAGACTACATTTTTTATATTTGAAATTAACCTTTAAAAATAATACATGTCCTTTTTAACTACAAACAGGGTTAGTAATTTAATTTAATTCATAATTACCTTTCTATTTCACTTCGTAAATATAAACCTTCTTCTGTTGCCTCTTTTAAAGTTTCTTCAAGTGTCATGATGTGTTTTATCAATTCTTTTCGAGAATAACTTTTAAATCTCGTCTTATTTTCCTCCAACTTATCAGCGTCTTCTTCTTCGTCTGAATCGCTTTCATCACTACTGACACAGATTACATCGGCACATTTTCGTTCATATTCTTCTTTCAACCTAAAAAATAATTTATATGGTTTATGTTTATGGTGTGGGAACTATTATTAAAAAAGAAAAAAACTACATATCGATATTTATATAATATCGCCAAAATAAGCCAGGCTACTGAAAAATTAGAAGACTATTATATTCTTTAGCCAAAGATTTGCGAAAACTAAAAAGGGATTTAAAAAACTTTCTCTATTTTAACAGACGGTAATTAAGAAACGTTCTGTCATTTACCTCATTAATTCCTCATTATGCATCTTCTGACGCTTAGCAAGTAAGTCTTTGTAAATTTCGATAACGCGATCTTTTTCTAAATCTATTTGTTCTTCATAGTGTTCTATTAGATTTTCTTTCTCTAATAAAAGTTGATGATAATCTTCTTTTAAAGAGTTGTAAGATTTTCTCCGTTTCTTTTTAGGAAGCAATGTTGATTCTCCATCGTTCACTGTAATAATAATAATAATAATAAAAATAACCTTTATTAGCCAAAACAAATTAAAATTGGCACATATGCATAAACAATAATCAGAATATTAAACAAATACAAATAATAAAAATGTGCACAATAATAAAATCATATAATAAATCGCTGGCTTACTGTGAAAGGTCATTAAAATACCGACCACAGCCTAGACACAGTTTATAACTAAAGAATCAGTTCGCTTACTCAGCCTCGGCACTTTTGATCTCAATGTTCCAGTTTATACATTGCGCAACTCGGATTTGTATCCCTGGCGCATACAGAATCAAATCATAATAGCCCAAGGCCCACTGCAAATTTTTACCGTCATCTGATAACGAGATGAAATATACCCCAAAAGCATGTAAAAACATTGTACTTTACCAAATGGTACCTGTGCCAATCCCAACCCTGAACAAAGCGGTTAAAAAAAACATTATATTAAAAAAATCACATAAGGTATGACAGCGCTAATTTTGTTTTCCTTTAAAAGTTTTTCAGAAAATAAAATCATTAAAAATATGAATCAATTTTTGAAGATTTAAAAATGAATTTGTATGCCTTTTGTTGGGATTAAATTTTACAGGTTGCCATAGAAACGACAACCTTTCACACATAATATATACACATGGTTAAAAGGTAGGTAAAAATATTAATAATTCAAGTTTAAAAGGTTACAATGAATTAGGATTGTAATTTTCTGGGAAAACACAATTTTCGCTGTCATCTTATGTGATTTTTTGAATATGAAATAATTTTTTTAACCATTTTGCTCAGGATAGGGTTTGGCACAGGTGCAATTTGGTAAAGTACAATGTTGTTGCATGCCTTTGGAGCATATATCATTTCGTTATCAGATGACGGTCGAAATTTACCATACTATAACCAACACAATATGACAACCGCCTATATTCAAACAGCAGTCTTATGAGCATCCTTAATTTGTATCCCTGGAGTGGATGTTATTTTGGAACATCCAATTGGTCCAAGTGAGGTAACTGATTCTTTAGCTATAAACTGTGGCCTAGACATGAGTGGATGAGCCACGTTCTGGATGAGTGACCAAATTCGTAAAGCTCGGGGCCCAACTAGATAGTGGAATATATAAATAGAATGCATGAATTGAATGAATAGGAATGAGAAGGGTATCCAAATAATGATACAATAATCCCCTGAGACTACAGTGCCGCCATGCGAACCCCAGAAGAGGGAAGGCAAGCTGGAACCCAACCCCGATTGTGGCGAGCCTGCCGAAAGTCCTCAGTGGCGAGCATAGGGATGCCCCTTTAAACAAATATAATTTAACATTTCTCTCCCCAAACAAATCAATGAACTCTTCCTTACTGTACAAGGGGCTATCTGTAAGTAAATAGTTCATTGCTAATTTAAATTGCTTAATTGTCTAGTAGTAGCAATTTGAATAAAGAAAATAAATCATCCTCAGTTCTCCTTAAACAGTGGAAGGGTACCGAAGTTTTTGTCTATGTATCATGATCATGGAGTTTGCTTAGATTTGTTATTAGATTTGCCAGTTTTAAGAAAGTAAGAAGAGAACAAAAGGTCATGATTTTAAGTTCTTTAAATAGTTGTTTACAAGTAACGAGGTAAAAAGACCAACACTCATTTTAAAACATACAAATTAATGTCTTGTGTTTATATATTTTCTCCATTAGAAATATTCACATTAATATTTGTCATCTTGTTACGTATTGGAAAATATTAACAAAGCCATAGCTGATATAATTTTAAAACAATACAAACATTAACACAGGCGACACTGACAGAAACTCTGCTTTACTGGTTACCTTCGTTGCCTGCGTGCAACTGTGTATTTTAGTAGATCCTGGATCCTAAGTAATAAAACAAAACACATCATGGACGCACAGGAAGAACGGGAAGTTTGAAGTGTACCTGTCATGGGCAGTGCAAGATGTCACACAAAATCTAAGATTATCATAGAGGTATATTGACGAGTATGAGCCATCTTTTAATTGAGAATAAATGTTTTTTAAAATCTCCTAAAGTAGTTTAAATATGTCATGTATGGATAATTTGTAGGAAAGTAGCTAGATGATGTGTTTATGTTTTGGTGAAGGATGACATTTCAGTGAAAAACAAATATTGAAACAATGTGTAAATGTTGCAAAAAACGTATCGATGGATAAATTTGGACAAGATTCTGCCTTGAAATTTGTCCAAATTTCTTTTAATAAATAAATACAGAAAACAGCTATGTTGTGTTCAGAAAAGCTACATTTATATCTGCCTGAACATATAGTTGTCAATAATTTTTTGATATTGAAGCTAATTTATTTATAGTGGCATTACCTTTAAGACCTTTGTTTGCACGTTGATCATTCTCTTTATTCTCCAAAAGCAATGAAAACCTGGTCCTTTTTCTTGCAACTTCTGGTAATTGTTCTTCAATTATGATTTGTTTTGCTATAGCAGAAAAATTCAACACATGAATAGTTTCGTCATACATGTTTCTAGATGGGTTCATGTTAACAATCATTTCTAATCTTTCAAAGCCCATCAAGGCTTTTTGAAAAAGTTGAGTTAATTTTGATTCCCTGAATGGTATCAACCTTCTATCTTTTATCTGCTGACATTTTTTTATGTTTTCCATGCACCTTCCTGATGAAAAAAGTAGAATTAGATGCAGAATGAACAATTTTAATTAAAATTTTCTTAGAAAAGAGAAATACATATTCACAAATTAAATATTTACTGCACTAAACAAGGTAAATATTTTATTTACGAAACTGTACAACTAAAACTTTTTTTTCAAAACATAACTTACCTAAAACTAGTAGCGATGTATTGATTTTATTGGATTCCTTAAGGCGATCCCCAAAATTTAAAGTCTTTTTTAATCTTTCAGAACCAGCCAAATCACAAAAACTAAAATTACTGATGAACACTTCATCACTATTCCTTGACGACTGCACTAATTTTATAGTGAAGATGCAGTGCGACCTACTCGAGTGCGAGTTTATTGCTGTTGCTGCATAATTGAGATTTTGCAATCCATACTGTAAAATCTGATAAGCTTCTAAACCGTTAGAAACATTAAGAATGGTAAGATTTTTAATATATGTATTATCGTCTCTTGTTTTTCCCAGTTCAAGTTTTGGACGAGCGAGTCCTTTGGAAACAGGAGGCACTAGTAAATCGTACAGTGTTTCGTTGTATATTTCAGAGAAAGATACCCAGACACTCACTGAAGCATTTGCCTTGTACTCAACTTCTGCTATTGGTTCTGAACTTAAACTGGCTTGCATTTGTCTATAAAAAATTAGATAATTTAGGAATATTTATTTTAAAAACACCAAAGGTGGGGCTCTAGAACCTTTAATATCATGATTATTGTTCCTTTGAAATATTATGGACCAAATGTTAGATGTGGCTTCAAAATCATTTGATAATTATTATTATTAAGCAAAAAAAGTCCCGAAAAGATAACATTTTTCAAAAAAAAAAAAAATATGAAAAAGAACTTGTTTTGAAGATGGTTGGTTATGATTTGTGTCATATTTTTTCAATACACACATTTTTAAATTTTAACAGTTGTATATAAAATTAAAGAATTTTTATTCAAACTTGGGGTAATCATGTGTAAGTTAATTTATTAAATGAATAGTAGGATAGAAAAATCACAAAAATCTATGTTAGGGGGAGTAACTTTAAGAATATTATTAGTTTTTTTCTGTAGTACATTATTTATAAACTACCTAATAAAACAGAACCAAATTATGCATGCTAGTTCTTAAAAAAAAGGTAGCTAGGTAGGTAGGATCATGAATATACAGGGTGTTCCAAAAAAGGTTGTGCCAAACTTAAGGAGGTCATGGGAAACATTTTGGTAAACAATTTTTGTATAGACCCCTAGTCAAAAATGATCCGTTTTGGGTCCAGATTTATTTTTGCTTAAAATACCATTTTTTTTTGCTTTAATTTAAATTAATTTATCAAGAAACAGTTTAAATTAAAGATAGATAATATAATAATGGGAAATAGATAAACAATAAACACTTATTTGTATATCGATACAAGTTTATCAGCATTGCAATCCTAAACTCGATGTTGTTAATAATTTAATTTTATGAATGTGGTTCCAACATGACGGTGCATCAACACATTTTGCCCGTACTGTACAGAATCATCTAAACCAACAATTTCCTGCGCAATGGATCGGAAGAGGAAGACCTATTAAGTGGCCACCACGAAGTCCCGATTTAACTCCACTAGATTTTTTCCTCTGGGGTTACATGAAGTCGTTAGTGTATGAAACTCCTGTAGACACCTAAGAAGAATTATTAGGAATAATGATGGCACCTTCTTTTCACATACAGCAAGTTCGGCAAGTCAATTCATATAAAGTTGGGGGGTCGTCATTTTGAAACCTTATATATTTTTTTACTTATTTATAATTAAAAATAATAAATATATACATTTTTTACATTCAAGAAGGTAACAACCTTTTAAGCAGTACGACTCATTTTTGATAGGGGTCTCCTCTATGCAAATATATTTTAATAAATTATAAATTTATAGTAAACAAAATTAGATAATAAACTAATTTAAATCAAGCCATACTTATATGTTTTTATATGAGCTGCTTGATCAATGTGGATAGCCTTAATAATGACAGCCTTTTTAGATTCCAACTTCAACAACATAGGAGGATCAATTTCTTTAACAAAACCATCAGGTAACGGAGTTATTTCAGGTGTCTTTAGCTCAACAGTAATGGATCTAAATATATATTCTAAAGATCTAGGTATTAAACCAGGTTCCTCTGGTGTTCCAACGATTGTATATGTTTTGCCTTCAAAAATAAACAAATATAGAGATTTTCTCTTGAAAAATATACAATATAAATCTTTACCTGAACCAGAAGCTCCATAAGTTAATAAAGAGGAACTTTTGCCATTAATAAAGGAAAGTAATTTGGATTTGGCAGTATAGTTAAAAATTTCTGTTTGATTAACTTCAGGCCCAAAAATTTTTGAAAATGTATAATTCTTTTTTATAATATCATCCGTTTTTTTACACGTCAAGCTGTTTTTGTTCACTTCATATATATCTTCATATTCTTCACAGTCACCTTTTATTCTCAAATATACTTTAAGAAATGTATTATCCTGAAACACAGATATTAATTAAAATTCATATTCCATTTTGATAACTAAATGGAGGAAATTAAACCATGCAATGAACCTAAGCAAGGCCATTTCTCATAAATCAGCTAGAGCTATTAATTCATAATATTTATCAAAACGACAATCACTATTTTATCTGTGGTGATATTAACGTAGATTTTTTGATTGAAGGTAATCAAAAAACTGTTTTAATTGACTTATTGAAGGAATTTAATATTAAACATCATATAAATGTTGCAACGAGAACAACAAGTACAACCTCAACTTGTTTAGATAATTTTTTTTCCTACGACCACTTAGGAAAGTGACGCATATCACACTATATAATCCTATGGAAAGTGCCCAATATCACACGCGTATGAATAAGGATTTACTTTCCACCCGTGTACGAATATGCTACTTTCCGCAGTAGCTGTCACAAAATGTCAAACATATCATTTCTATTTTGATCTATGTAATGTTCATATTAATACTAAAATCGATATGATTGTTAAATTATTGAAATTGTTGTAAATTAGATCCTAGATATTTATCTTTAACAATAACAATTACAATAACAATTATTATTAAAATAATTTTAAAATAACTAAGATATATTTGTTTTTTATTCTGGTTAAACACATAAGCGATTAGATCAATCAATTACCGTAAGGCCAGTTAACTCAGTTGGTTAGAGCGTCAACTTTGCAATTTGAGACCGTCGATCGACCGCGTTCAAATCCTGGCTGTGCTAGAATTTTTTTTTTTTTCTTTTTTATTTTTTTTTTATTTGTTTAGTAAATATGAAAATTGAATAAATACGATTACTGTTTATTATTTTTTTAAATACATTTTAATTATTATAATAATAACCTGATTTACAATTTTTGATGAAATTATTTTGTGGTCGTAGGAAAAATATTGTACATTACTTGTGTGAAAAGTGATTTTCCACACTCGTGTGAAAAATGTCACTTTCCACACTAGTAATGTAATATACTATTACCAATTTTGATGTAGATAAGGTGGGTGTATATGATACTTTTTTGTCTGATCATAACTACTTATTATGTTCGATTAAACTACCTAATTTTGAAAATAACGAATTTAAATACAGATATAAACGAGATTTAAGTGATCCTAACGTAATAACTTTTATAAATATTTTATCAGTTGAAAATTGGCGTGAAGTATACACATCTACTAATTTTAATGATAAATTTTTTATCTTTTATGAATCATTCCTATGCCACTACAATATTGTATTTACGAAAACAAAGAAAGCGATAAAACCACAAAAATTAAAAAATCAGTTTCCACCTCATATTAAAGAGTTACATAATCTATTATGTGAAATGAACAGGTTAAAGAAAGACCAGAAAGAAATAAATTCTACATATTATACAGAAAGTTACAATAATTTAAAAAAAAAAAGTATCAAAAAAAAAACAAAACAATATTTGAGGAGAAAAAATAATGATCGTATTTTAAAAAGTAATAACGTAATGAAAGAATCCTGGAATATAATAAACGAGAGTAGGGGAAAAAGAAAAAACAACTTAATAAATCCTATTAAACTTACAAATTATGACAAATTAACACCCTTAGAAAAAGTAAATTATATCAATGACTATTTTATTAATGTAAATAAAAATAATATTGTACCTAACTATACTATGAGTATTGATAAACATCATAAAAGTTTTTTTCTTTTTCCAACAACTCCTAGTGAAATCATCACTATAATCAAAAAAACTACTTCTAAACCGACTGAAAGGTATTGACGAAATAAATGGTAAAATTTTGTTATCTGTTGCTCATTGTATTGCTGAACCCATATCAGAAATATGAAGGAATCTAAAGGAATTCCTGTTTATAAAAATAAGGGATCTGCATCTAATATAGAAAATTATCGTTTAATCTGTATATCTAGTCAAATAACTAAAATATTTGAGTCAGCATACTTTATTAGACTCACTAATTACCTTGAAAGTTTTAATATGTTGCCAGATACTGGATTTAGAAAAAATAAAGTCAACATCTACTGCAATTGCAGCTTGCCTAGAGTTTATATATCAAGCACTCAATGATAAAAAACATATTTTGGTACTCTTCTATGACCTTAGCCGTGCATTTGATATGGTGGATCATAATCTTTTATTATTGAAGATAAATGGGTTAGGAATACGAGGGAAACCTTATGAATGGATACAGTCTTACTTAATAAATCGAACTCAAGTAATTGTAAAAAATAGTCTAAAATCTGATCCTCTTCCATGTACAATAGGAGTTCCCCAAGGTTCAATTTTTATAGTTTTTATAAGTGATATAAGTAATTTTTGTTTAAGCTCTCAACAAATAGTTCAATATGCCGATGATACCAATATTGTAATGGCAGGTGATCAAATTGAACAGGTCACTCAAAGTAGCAACGAGGCATCTCGTGAGTTTAACCAGTATTGTAAAGATAACGGTCTGGCATTAAATGTAACAAAAACAAACTTCATGCAATTTCTACCCAAAAACATATTACCAGATTACGAACCCTACTTGCACGTTGACGGAAAAACTATTCAAAGCGTTGATGACATAAAATTTTTAGGAATAATATTAGATCCCAAATTAAATTGGGAAGCTCATATAAAAATGGTAACTTCAAAATTAAGTATTTGTTATATCATCAAAAATTTAAGGGAGACTATCTTTTGATACTTTAAAACTATGCTATTTTGGTTTGGTTCATTCAACTCTACAATATGGGTTAATATTTTGGGGTTCTTCACTATACTTTGAAAGAACTTTTGTATCTCAAAAGAAGGTTCTGAGAGCCATGTATAAGGTGGCACCAACAACATCATGTAAAGAACGTTTCAAGAAAACACAAATTTTAACACTACTTTCCCTTTTTATTTTTCAACTAATTTTATACATAAAAGATAATGAGCATATATTTAAGAAAAATAAAGACCTGCACTCATATGATACTAGATTAAAATTTAACATCCATCAACCTTTTTCACGACTACAAATAAGCCAGCATTCACCAAAATATATTGGGATTAAGTGTTACAATAAGTTCAGTAACATATTAAAAGATACTACAGGTTATCATCAAATTAGTCGTAATGATTTAAGAAAACATCTTAATGATTTTCTTGTAAATAATGTATTTTATAATATAGAAGATTTTTTGAACTTTTAAACTAATCTTAACATGAATTGTCTATTATATATATTTTATTTTTTAATGTATTTTACTTAACACTTTTTTGACTAGTCTGATAGGATTGTACATTATGTACCTAGTGTCTTTGTATAGTGTATAATTCTCAAATATGAATAAATTCTATTTCTATTTCAGAAAACAAAATTAAGAAATTAACGGTCTACAATTACAAATAATATGCAGTCAAAGTAATTAGAAAATAAAAAACTAAATACTATGAATAACAAATCCACAATTCTATTAAGTTTTGGAAGGTATTGAAGTAAATCATTCCTAAGAATAGTAAAGAGACCTCTTAGTTCGATAGAGGTTGAGTAAAAATCAAGGAGTAAAAGATATTTATGAAATGCCCCATATTTTAAACAAATATTATGTTAATAGTATAAATGAAATAATCAACAATATAGAATGTCCCGATTTTCCTATTTAACCTAGAACTGAAAATATTTATTAAAAGTTTTTAATTAATTAATATTTATACATTGGATAACTATGCACATCAGAGTGATAATTAAGCTTTTCTTTTAGATACATCGGAAGTAACCCATGTTTGATTTTATAAATAAAAATTAATGCATTCTTTGATAAAAGACTTTTGATTGGCATTCAATTCAAAGTTTCAAGCATTAGATTAATGGGAGTATATTTTGAGCAAGATAATATTATTCGTATTGCCCTATTCTGCAGCTTCTGCAGGTCTGTTCAACTCATTTTGATTTAGAAAAAGAGTATTGTAAAACAATAATTAAAGTGAGGTAGAATGATAGTGTTATATAGGAAATTTAACTTAAATACAATACTTTTGATGACAGATCTGTGAATTTCATCTGTTTGTCAATCATTACTCATAAGTATTTGAATTTGTCTACTAATTGTATAGAATTTCCTCCAATTGTTTGATCCAATCTCTCATCCATATTTTCTTCATTCTATTTTCTTCTTCCTCAATAGCTAAGGTCACTTCACTCAGTAAAATGTCAGAAATATTTATCAAACCCTTTTTCACACCACGACGACGATGGCTAATATTCAATGTTGTTTTAAATTTTCAACTGTACTTTGCCAGTCTACCAGTATTTTCAATTTGTGTGTGAATGGCTACTCGCACTTAATCAGGTCAAGTAAAGTAGGCAAGCTCAAAAGCATGCTAGTTACTCTACCGCTAACTCTACTAATGAAAACGAGGCTTTACAACTATATTTTAGTGTTTTAAAATGGAATTTAACTTTACATTCAATTTTAAATATTTTCCTTGTCCTACTTTTTTTTACAATGAAAGAATATTTCAATATTTACGTTTTCTACCTCGTAACTACTTAAATGAAATTATTTTATATAGAATATTTTGAATCATTTTATGCCAAATTTCGATCTAACTACAGCATAGTCTAATGCCGACCTTCGATACTTACCTCCTCTTTTTGATTCTCTTTATTTTCACTGCTACTACTGCTAGCTGAATAATTATCATCACTCTCCATTAGGGAATCAAATTGTATCTTAACTTTAGGTAATTGCCATCTATTGTATTCTAATATGCTGGGATCTCTTGCAACTAGAAAGGAACCTAAGTCGCACATTTTTAAAATTATTTAAACAAGTTTTTATTTTAGAAGTCAATTAAAAGGTGATTAAAAATTAAAAGGCAAAATAAAATAAACCGTTCTCGTCTATCGTTGTTATTTAAAATGACATAATTTTAAATTTGACATTTGTAGGTACGCTCAGTGTTGTTCCTAGGGATTTTTGAATTGTACAACTTTCAGTGTCAAAATTGTACACTTTTACTTTCGATTGTACAACCACTAATTAATCTTCTTCTTTTTTATTGACAGACTATGGCCATGCTTAAAATTCTTCTTTTTTCCAGTTTAAAATATATTTTTGATGCAAAACGGTGTACTGATTGGTCGCGAATGGCGCCAAATTTAAACTTTTATTTTTTTTATTAATTTTAATGCATGTTATTTAACAAATCGTAGACTTTTTGAGCGAAGAAAACCTTTTATATACCCGATTTTACATAAATATTTAGCAATTTCAAATTGTACAACATTTCTGTCTTTTTTCAAAAGTGCGTACAACAGTACAACCGCATAACTGATTGTACAACTTTTTGTACAATTGTACAACCAGGAACAACACTGGGTACGCTCTGGTATTAGAGATGGGTTGCAATTTCACTGTAACTTCACTCAAGTGGAGCAAAACACTCCACGCCTGGCGGAGATGTTATTTTTCGGACCGATGTTAAAACAATTCCCAAAAAATTAGAGTAAAAATTCTTCTAATTTTACGGGCTTTAGGGCCCTATTCAGTAATTTATCGTTTATGGACGACATCGTTAAGCTAACGACAGTTCAACCAACGACTTTTATAACGATAATTTTTGAAACTCTATTCAATAACAAAGTCGCTACGTTGTTTCTAGTTACCAAATCTGAACGATGATTTCTAGTAAGTTGGTATTATAATTTAGTGTTTTGTGATAAAAGAACGTATGTTGATGATTATACCGGGTGTTTAAATTAAAGTTTTACAGTTATATCGCCAAAAATATGCATTTTATAAAAAAAAGTATCAGACAAAAGTTTTATAGTTTTTTAGGGGAAACATTTTGGCTAAATTAATTTTTTTATAGCTGACCATAATATAGCCATATCGAGGTGGATTTTTTTTTCAAATTGGAACCCTATTTTTTCATAAAATAATAAGAAACTTCTAAAGGAAACATTTTTTTATTGGATTTCTACTTATTGAGTAACACCCAAAAAAACTATAAAACCTTGTTTTTTTTTTTATAAAATTCGATATTTAGGGGCCTATTCAGTAACTATGAACGACGTCGTTAATAGACGATAATCGTTCACAGACGACTTTTCTTATTCAGTAGACAACGATTGTCGTTGAAAATAGACAAATATGGTTGTAAAATTGTCGTTCATTAACGATAGCCACAGAGCAGTCGTTAATAATATGAAGTGTCGTTATAGTGATTTTTGCATTCCCTCTCATTTTTTATTGTGAATCAGGATATGTTCTAAATAATAAAAACACTTTTTTACAAATTTTACAACTAAATTGCCATATACCTAATACAGCAAGTAAAATTTGTAAGGAATTTTTTTCTAATTTATTTAATTATTTTAAAAATAAATCTGATTCAAAGTTAGGATTGCCCATTCAATCATTTACTATTGGATTCTTATTAACAGTGATGTTCCTAAAGTAGCACTGCGAAACTGTAACAAAACCTATATTATGGAAGTACCTATAATACTTATCCGTAACCTACACATAAAACGAGGCTAATGGCCTGAGTCTGAGTTGTCGAAGCCGATGACATCAGCAGAAAAGATAATCAGGAGAAAGGCGATTGATAGTATCAAATTTGGTTTGTCTTTCAAATCCAATAAATACAACTTGTACTGTTCTCGAGTTGTTTTTTGTATTCTTTTGCAATAGTTCTGTTTTTTTTTAATATATCCATACTCATTTAAATAAACCCTACATACAATACGAGCAGCAAAAATGGCCCGCGAGAAACAGAATTCCTACGAATCGAGAATCGACCCCCTGATCGTGTTGTAGGTTAAGAACAATAATTAATATATTCTGAAAAACAAATTAATATATCTACTGGTAGAATTTTTATTTCACGTTCCAAAAAAATGTCAAATATACCGGGTGTTCAAATTAAAGGGTTACAGTTAAATACCGTGACAAAAAAACAAAGTTTTATAGTTTTTTGGGGAAAACATTTTGGCTAAAATTGTTTTTTATAGCAAACCATAATATGGCCAACTTTTTTCGCGCAGTAGGTGTTACTCAATAAGTAGAAATCCAATAAAAAAGTATTTTCTTTAAGGCCGATTCCACCGTTGTTTTAAGCGGAGATTAAAATGACATTGTTAATGTAAAAATGTAATTTTAAACTTCGTTTGACACAACGGTGGAATCGGTCCTTAGAAGTTTCTTATTTTTTGTGAACTCTAAGAATACCTATATAAAAAAATATATAGAGTTCCAATTTGAAAAAAAATCCACCTCGATATGGCCATATTATGGTCAGCTATAAAAACATTAATTTAGCCAAAATGTTTCCCCTAAAAAACTATAAAACTTTTGTCTGATACTTTTTTTTATAAAATGCATATTTTTGGCGATATAACTGTAAAACTTTAATTTAAACACCCGGTATAATCATCAACATACGTTCTTTTATCACAAAACACTAAATTATAATACCAACTTACTAGAAATCATCGTTCAGATTTGGTAACTAGAAACAACGTAACGACTTTGTTATTGAATAGAGTTTCAAAAATTATCGTTATAAAAGTCGTTGGTTGAACTGTCGTTAGCTTTAACGATGTCGTCCATAAACGATAAATTACTGAATAGGGCCCTTAACTGTAACCCTTTAATTTGAACACCCGGTATATTTGAGATTTTTTTGGAACGTAAAATAAAAATTCTACCAGTAGATATATTAATTTGTTTTTCAGAATATATTAATTATTGTTCTTAACCTACAACACGATCAGGGGGTCGATTCTCGATTCGTAGGAATTCTTGTTTATCGCAGGCCATTTTTGCTGGTCGTATTGTATGTAGGGTTTATTTAAATGAGTATGGATATATTAAAAAAAAAAACTGAGAACTATTCCAAAAGAATACAAAAAACAACTCGAGAACAATACAAGTTGTATTTTTTATTGTATTTGAAAGACAGACCAAATTTGTGTAAGTTACGGAGAAGTATTATAGGTACTTCCGTAATATAGGTTTTGTTACTGTTTCGCAGTGCTACTTTAGGAACAGCACTGTTAATAAGAATCCAATAGTAAATGATTGAATGGGCAATCCTAACTTTGAATCCGATTTATTTTTAAAATAATTAAATAAATTAGAAAAAAAAATCCTTACAAATTGTACTTGCTGTATTAGGTATATGGCAATTAAGTTGTAAAATTTGTAAAAAAGTGCTTTTATTATTTAGAACACATCCTGATTCACAATAAAAAATGAGAGGGAATGCAAAAATCACTATAACACTTCATATTATTAACGACAGCTCTTTGGCTATCGTTGATGAACGACAATTTTACAACCATATTTGTCTATTTTCAACGACAATCGTTGTCTACTGAATAAGAAAAGTCGTCTGTGAACGATTATCGTCTATTAACGACGTCGTTCAGAGTTACTGAATAGGCCCCTTAGTTATAAACTGTGGTAACGCGTTGAACTTGGACTTAAATATACAATAAAAAAAACTTATATTTTTGTATAGAATCGATCACTAGCATTTCTATTTATACTATAATTATAATTTGTTAATTTTAATAAAACTCTATGAAGTCAATTCAATTACGAGTATTAAAAAAATTTCCCAAATAGGCCGGTGAATAGGAGGGTGAGAGTTTCTGACTTCCGCGCAAGAAATCCAAGTTCGAGCCTCGGCTGGGGAATTAATTTTTTTTCGCTTATTTTATTTTAAAAATTAATTAAAGTCATAAATTATTTTTAAATTAGTTATTTTGTCTTAATAATCTAAAATATATTTTTTATTTGTAAATTTTCGTTAGTGGGTTTTAGAAAAAATATACTGTACAACTCGAGTGGAGTGTCTATATCGCACTCAGACGATTGACGGTCTTGGCGAGACTGCCTTATATATCATACCACTTAGAAAATGTCATAGAAACAATGCTATTGAATAGAGAGAAATAGAAAAGAATACATCGCCGACTGTTGACTACAATTTCTCATGCTTGCCATTGAAAGGACGTGGTTAAAACAATTACTCTCTTTATGCGTCACACGTCCAAATATAATTAAGCGTCTCATCTTTATTTTGTCTGATGTGGCGGTTAACTTTATATATTCATGATTTAGTTGATGTTACTTTGTACATTAAACAATCAATTACATTACGTCTGCATTGTTTTTAGCATTACCACCGCCCTTGTTTCAGTGTAGCGATTTATTTCGTGTCTGTGGTCACTTTATCGAGAAATTTGTCTCGAATTTAAGAACCGATAATCTGCCAACCGGCGATGATTTCATTTAGTAGAATTTTTTTTGTTAAGGTAGAACTGACAGTTCGTCGGTTTTCCCAAATAATTCTACACAAAATTTAAAAATGAAAGATGGTCAAAAATTCAATATTTTTATAGAATTACACCAAAACAAAATATTTGTACAATATAGATGTATACATAGATTTACAATAGGATAAAAAATATATGATACATACACGATTTAAATAGAAAATTACATTCAATATTTCATCCAAAAAATGTGCAAGATTATATAGTAAAATTGTAGAACACACAGACACATTTCTTAAGTTTAAAAATCTTGGCAACAACTTTCATAAATATGTCCTAAACCTATCAAGAATATATACAGAAAATGTCATTCGAAGATTTTGAAATCTTGAAATATAGTTTTAAGATAAAAATTGGAGTATCACAAACAGCTTTTAATTGGAGATAATTAAGCTGTAAACTATAATAAGGAATGATAAAAGCAAGGTCCTGCCCAGGCAAATTTCTCTTTCAAAAAATAAAGAGGTTATTCACAGACTAAACTAAAACTTGTTATTTTGTCATATATATTTTTTGTTCAATAAGAATTTAAAAACTTTAAAACTCATCCTATACTTGGATATCAATTGTTGCTGAACTTCATATTTATTTATATATAAATATATATATTCTTTATAATTACAGTCTTTCATTTAAGAGTTATATAATGACAAGCCATAACAGTTGAGCAGCTTCCAGCTATATTGCTGGCTTTTTTATTTAAATTCTTTAGTACATTTTTATATATTCAAAAAGACTTAATTTAAAATAAAATTACCATTTTTTAAAACGATTTCTAAATAAATAAAATCAATGATAATTTTTCAAATGACCCCAAAAAAAGGTTTCCTAGGCGCAACCTTAAAAGAAGCCTTAAAATCAACAACTATAAAATGACAGTAAATGTGGAATATATTAAGTTACGGCTTTTTCATAAGTAGGTGGTGGAGAATCTCTAATAACTTGTATAGTATCCAGATCATTTCTGGGTGCTAACATCACTGCTATATGGTAAGGAGGAGGTGGCAATTCAGAAGTGGTATTATTTGTTGGGCTACCCTGGTCTTGAGGATCTTCAATTTCTTGCTAAAAATGTGTTTATGTAGTTATTTTTTAAACAAATATAAATAATTTATTGTAACAATAGTTTTTCTCATACCTCTTCAATGATTCTCATAACTGGCATTTCTGAACGAGTATTAGCAGGAGAATAGGATACAATAGCTTCACACAAGGATATTAAACCACCAAGAATAAGAACGACCACAAGTAGAGAACAAAATACAAGAACTTCAACTCCTATGTTTATCTAAAACAAGATTTTTTTATAAGAAACAATAACTAACTTCCTACATTTTGTACTTTTGAAAAATTAGAGATTTTAAACACAATTTTTGAAATGTAATTACTTTTTCCACTTTAATATTTTTCTGTACTATGAAATAATAAATATCACTTACTCCATGGAAATAGTATTTGGCCCCTGCTAAAAAAAATGTAACTAAAGCAAAAAAAATCCAAACACCACATTTTAATCTGGAAGTTGGAGATACATTGTGCCTTGTGACTTGAGATTGTCCAGTATCCACCATTTCCACAGATCTAGCCACATTTGGTGGCATACGAATATTACTGCCGGAGCCACTAAAAATAATTGTTTTAAACATTTTAAGAGGAAACATCTTTGAAAATCACTTACTTGTAATGAACAGATGTGGAACAATGTAGTGGTAACCTAGCATGATATCCAGATCTACCATTACGTAAGCCACCTTCTATTGATTGAAATCTATGAACTGGAGTTACCATCGGTTTTGGATAGAAACTACCACATAAATTCCTCTGGTTTCGTCCGTAACCTAGATAGCATGCCAAGTGAAAACAAATTTTCTCAAAATTTGTAAATAACAGGACTAAATCACAAAAAGAATCAAATATCTTAAATCTATTCATACAAAGTAACCCAATAATAATTAAATATGCTCAGCACGTTTCATTTAGGTGCTAATTTTTTACAATTTACTAAAACTTGCATTGGTGTTTACCAGAAAGTGATGGAGGAATCTGACGAGCATTAAATCCACATCCTTGGCTGCGTTTATCAATCCAAAAATGCATGTGTAAAAAATTCAATGTAAGCAGAAATGGACAAATATTGCTACAGTCATTTTCTTTTATTTTTTATCAGTACCTATAGGAGCTTGGAAAACCCAATCAATACCCTAAAAGCATCAAATTATTAATATGTATTGTCTTTCATTGTGTAGTCTTACCTCATCGATTAACATTGGCGTTTTTATTCACAAACATACCAAAAACTTTAAGAATATAATTATAATCTTTCGGTTTATGTTTATCATCAGTTTTGTTGTTGTTTACATCGATTGATCTCACCTCAAAGTTTTTCTATGCTCAAAGCAAAGAACACAGAGAACACCTCACAGGAACAATATGACATATGACAAAAGTCATGGATATGAAGACTAGAGAAGGCGAGTTCGGATAGACAGGGGCTGGAGCGGGACAAATTTTAGGGTGCTTTTAAATGACATTTAAGCGTGTTAAACTGTCACTAATCGGACTAAACCGAACGCTAAAAGGGTCGTTTGGAGTTAAAAGTGTAAAGGAGTTAAAGGAACTTGGCAGACCGAACGCAATGAGAGAGGGAGGCGAATCGGCAATGGTCAAATTTCAAATTTCCGTCCTTATACAAATCAGATGTAAAACTAAAGAAAACACAAGGAGAAATCAATTCATGTTTTTTTAACGCTTATACACTTCTAATGTAAGTAAAATAATGTTTTTATGTCTAAATATAATATTTATTGTAAACAGTAGTCACAACACGTATCACGGAGTGTAATTTATTTTATGACAAGTTTCTATAAAATAAAATTTTACAGTCATAGATCCTGACCAAAGAAGACCACTTCATTGATCCTGACTTACAAACAATAATAATTATACATTAAATTTTACTTACTAGAAAAGAAAATTTTTTTTTATACGGTTTAAATGTTAGATATAGAGTTGCTACTGTTATTTTTTTGTTGAACCCCGATTTTATCATTGTAAATGTTTTTCTTAGCAAAATAAAAAGTGGAAAGCCAAAATTAAAGGATCAGACAATATCATGTACATTCCCAAATTTCCCTTTATGCTTGTATTATAACAATAAAAAAATCAATTAACACTGTTTTATTTTGCTCTCAAACCTATATTTAGGTATAATTCAAAAAAATTTAGGCACAAAATTGTACTTAGCAAATTTCACCATTTAACAAATCTGTTCGAATTTGGTCGTAACTACCTAATTTGCATTTCATATAGATAAAATTAAATAATTTATTAATAAAAACATACGAGATTTATTTAGAAATAAAAAACAGTATATTCTGTGCTTTATTTGGCAATAAACAAGTTTATTTTTATTTTGACAAAATTATGTAAAATTCCCATAAGAAGACATGTATTTTGAACTGCACTACTAGTACCAGCGCCCTTACGGTGAATTAAAAAAGCTCAATTATCGTTTGGTTTTTGGGACCGTATTTCGAATATGCCGTTGCGCCTCCTTATCTCTAGTCTTCATATGCCGTGTTTGAATATCCACATATGATCCACATCTACATCCGATGTATTTTAACATCTCGAGCCTTTCGTTATTAACATCGGACACATCTACATTTGAAAATCCACATCGGATGCATTTTTTACATCTCGAGCGTTTTTTATCTACATCGGACACATCTGTCCCATTACATTTCTTAGATTACAGATTTACTAATATCCACCTCTAAATTCCAGTGTAACGCCCGAGTGTAACAGGGGGGCTATTTTCAAAGTATGGGAGCACTCATTTCTCTCAAGATTTTCATCAGAAATGTCATACGTCAATGTGGAAATGTTGTTTTTAAAGACATCGAGGATTAAAATTCTTAGGAAGATTTTAATTCTCTCTAAATAAACCGAGAGAAACAGTCAGTGAGTTCACACTGGGCCTAAGAGCCCTAAAAATACGGTTTTACGTTGACGTATGACATTTCTCTTGAGAGAAATTAATTCTCTCGAGTTTGAAAATAGCCCCCCAGGTGAGTTCTGTTTAAAAATACGGACCAAAGTGTGCTCCGTGGAGCCTCCGTGGGGTCTCCGCGAAAATAATAATTACAATAAAAAATAATACTAAAGGAGAACTATGGGGAAGTTCGTCACAAAAGGGAGGATTTAGAAATGCCCAATATAAAGTTTTAAAAAAAAATCTATTTTTATTATTTTATTGCTCCATCAGAGATATTTCGCTTGTCAAAAGGGTTCCGTCGCCAAAAAAGTTTGAGAAACGCTGGTCCAGAGCGTCCTTGATCACGTGATACAAATTCGCAACATCTCAGATGCATCCGATGTGGATGTGGATATTCAAACGCAGCAATTGTTAAATTATCGAGTTTCGAACTCCTGAATATCGATACTGTCAAATATCGTATCGAATCGCAAATCGCACATCTCTAGTACAAATACAAATGTCAGTGCCAGTACTGCCAGTGTATTGTATCAAGAATTTGGCGAAAACTCTCTTATAAATAATAACTATGTTATTTAGAAAATCTTTTAATTTAAAAACAAATGTAGAAAAATGAACAAAATAAAATAGTACGTCTACATTGTACCCAATTACATGTCGTTCAGAAATATGGGATTTCTTAGGATTCACAAATGGTAAGTATAATAAAAATTAGTTTATATGTAATGGAAAATATATCAATATTATCTTTAAAATAAACGGCAACTTATATAGACGGCAGTAAGGCATTACCAACAAAATAGATGTCGAATAAGAAAGAAGAAGTTACATGGAACACACATACTCTTTTATTTTTCAAGCCTTCACGATCCCCTAGCACTACAGCCCCAATACTGGGCTACGGCCTTTATAAACATTTACAGTCCTTTAATATGTTATTTATGATTCGATAGTTTATCTTTTATTTGAATAATTAGATTACAAGATTATTCTAAAAAGATAAAGATGACACCTGTTTTTATTATTAGACTATTTTATATTTCAAGTGATTACACACATGTAAGTATATTATTTTTTAAGTCTATAAATTATGGAAAATTTTCTATGCCCTAAAATCATCTCATCACAAGAGATACTTTTCCTCTATTGCAAACTAAAAAATTATAAAGAAATAAACCACATTATAAAGATACGGTCCATTCTGTAATGAGGAAGATTAAAGGACAGAACACTGAAACATCTGAATACATCCAAATATAGGAACCTTCAGACTTCAAACAAGTTTCACCATGGACGGACTATCACAGGTCACAGTAGGATACATTATTGACCCTCATCCCTCTCACTAGCATGGGGTTCAAATTCTATTGAAGGCTTATTGTACCTATATCAGTTTTTTCTTTAGATTAAATTTATTTTATTGCTTTTCCTTGTATTCAATGGGAATTCCCTTTTTTTTATTTAAAAAATTGGTATATATTTACATATATAAATAGGTATAGGTTTCATTCATATTTTTTTTAATTCATATCTGATTAAAAAAAAAGTTAAATTTTAATTATGTTTCTAGTTTGATATATGGTAGCATTGCCCAGTACTTGATGTCAGTTATGTAAGAGTTGTAAATTATATTTTTTCCATGTCCAAATAAAGGAAACTATCTTTATCGGTTATATGCAGGTAGGGTTAAAAGGAAAATTATAAAATATAACAAATAAATTTAGGGTTACTAAGAAAACATATTTCCAAAAAATTGACACAGATATTTGCTTTTATGAACTTTACTTATACCTATATAAAATAAAATTATAAAAAAATAAGTCTGTCAGTATTTGTACTCCCGACCTTCCGCACGGGAACTATTACTTTTGCGCCAACCTCATTCAATTTATTATGACTGAATTTGTTTTAGATACCAACTTTTATTAAAATTTAAAAAAAATTATTCATTATTTATCGATTCTTAAAAAGAATCACTCATTTTTAATAGTAATTTAGAATAATAACTAATTAAAAAATATACTGACAATAATTAGTTTGATAGGTGTCAATAAATTAAAATTTTAAAAACATTAATTGATAGCAGTGTAGACTCCGTTAAATTAAATTCGTCACAACCATAGATATATGGGTTATATGTGATAATTTAAAATGGGTGTTCACTTTTTGTACAAGTGTAGTTATTATTATCAATATCATACTATTTTCAAGCACTACAAATATTAATGAATGAATATTTTAGTTATTGTAATATTTGTTTTGTTTTTAATACGTTGAAAACCATCTATAAACATTATTAGTTAATCAACTGAATTTTTTTGAGATTATTTTTTAAATATAAATATTATAATATGAAACTTTATCTACCATTTTTCAGGTTTCATTGTAAATTTAGTCATTTTCACAATTTGTCACATATGTCAAATAAAATAATATATTTTTTAAATACCTTTTATTGGCAAAAAAACAAGCAAACTAAAATGTGTATTTTATAAAATAAGTCCCATCACAATACATAATATTACAAAGATACAAACTAGAATGAAGATATATAATGCCTGGTATTCTAAATTATACTCTTCACAGTTTAACAGACCCCCTTAACCCCCATTTTCTATCAGATTTTCAGAATCAATAGGCTTCATCCCCTTGTAGAGCTTGATTTTAAATATTTCAACCCTCTTAACCCCCCATTTTTATTCAATTTTTTTTTTTTCACAATTAATAGGCCTCATCTCCTTATAGAGCTTGATTTTTACTAAAAATTTCATGTTGATATCCCTTTTCATTTCTGATTTTTTTTAAATTTCAACCCTTTAATAGGTTAGCGTTTTTTAATACACTTTTGGGAAAATTAGTTTCCAGGAAAGAAAGGGCGCCAATAATTCTCTTTTTATTTTTAGAAAGCTAGTGAGAATTATAAACAATTATAAACAAAAGAAAATTGATTAAAACTTATATATAATTATATATAATTTTTTCAAAATCAATAGGCTTTGTCCTCTTATAGAGCTTGTATTTTGCTTAAAATTTTCAAGCTGATATAATTTTTCGTTTTTTGACATTGGACAAAGTAAACCTATAATATTCACAGACTACTGTGTGAAGAGTATAATAATATAATCAAGGCTAAAACAATAACATAATAGCCTAAAAAATAGGTACACTAAAAGAATGATAAAAGTTAAAGTTTTGAAAATTATTTAATAGGTATATTAGTACCTCGGAGATAAACTGCCCTATGTCATTCTAGTCAACTTTTTAGTAGAGCAGACTGAATGTTGGTTGGACAACTTTTCGTGTTCCATATTTACATATAATAATTATATTTCTACAAGAAATGCAGTTAGCCCCAATTATTGTCACAATATGTATTGTTTACTAATAATCTAACTATTAAAACTTTTTTTATAATATACATGAATTGTTGGTTTTTGTAACATATTTCTATGTTCTGATAACAAATTTTCTATGACATAGTGTCATATACCTCCATGTCTCTATAAATAGTACGACTAACGTTAAAAAGTGTTGTTTAACATTTGTTGAAAATTGAACAGTGTTATCTTTTTTTAAGTCGACTTTTATTGTGACATCACTATACATGGTATAGAATACCCCTGAAAAAGTCTTGATGAGCCGATTTGAAAAATATAACCTTTATAAAACCGCACTATGTCGACATAGTTCAGTTTACCTCCCAGGTAGATATCGGTAAATATTTAATTTATTCTTCATGATAAAAGTACATACCTAACATAGACACAACTATTAAGTTTCTTAAATTAATTTAGACCAGTGCAATATTTATATTTTATATCGTCTTTAAAAAAACTGTAATGTAAGTTTATAAAATCGTCAGCGCTACATCAGTCTGCCACTGTTTATCAGTACCTCTAGCATTTATAGATAGGTAATTTTTCTATAACTTCAAATTCATTAGGGACGACCTACAAAATAAACAATTATTCATTTAAAATAATTGTACTGTGGTAAAGAAATTATCCTTGTTTAAGGGTCGATCTTTTCACCTCTGAGTAAAGTTACATGTAGGTTTACTTGACAGATTAATAAACAATAGCCCTATAGTTTAATTAGCAAGTAGTTACTTTCAACTTTACTCAGAAGTGAAAAGACTGGCCCTTAATAAAATTATCATACTTTATTGAAAATTCGTTTGTCTTTTGTTGGAAATAAAAAAAAATACGTGTGGCACTCGGGGATTGCCGCGGTAAAGCTATCGCATAACATTTTTTATCAACTTATGCAATTATAATTATTTATTTTATTTATGCAGTATTTTTTTTCTTTGATATTAATTCAAGTTACACTTTTTGAGCGTGGTGACCGATAAGAAAACAAAGGACAATGGGCAAAAATGTATGGGAAATTGCCCCACCTCCAATAAGGATAAGTTATATATCAATTGAAAGATCTTTTTAAGGAGAACATTTCTCTTCATTACGACTCATCTCAATTACTTGTCCGTTCCGAGTTATCCCATCCTAAATGTAACTAATTGCAGGATAAGCCAGTGCTTATATTCTGTTATTGTAGTGCTTAATACAGGAAAATAATAGTAAATATTACTTCACAGTGATATATAAACAATTGTAATATCCGGGTATATCATGATATGCTGTCGAGGATTTTATCCACCACGTGTATCCCTTACCAAATGGCCTCTACGTGTTGGTTACACAGCCCCACATATGCTCTCCAAAGGACCGGGACCAATGGTTTAAGACCAAGGTAATGGACTAACATAATAATACAATCGTAAATATTATTACCCCATTTACATTAGAACGAATATAAAGCCATTTGTAACACATACAGGGTGCGGCATCCTATAAACGTCGGTCCAGACTATGACATGACATTTTTTTTAAATTACTTTTATACAGAAAGATGAATATCTATTGGAGCTCTAATTAAAAAATATTTTAGAATTCACAGTGTGCTTCAAAAAGTTTCTATCTAAAAAGTATTAACATTGAAAAATTTTAAATATTACAACCGTTTTAATTACTTATAGTACAATATAATATCAATACAAAATGAAAGTAATAGGTAGAAGGCAATTCTCATGCTAGCTAGTACATGGCTTGCATGAAAAATGCTTTTCAGCTAAACTAAATTTAGATTATATCGCCTATAATTTGGTAAGTAGGCATTTTTTCAATTCGAGATTTGAGTTTTTGTTTAGTTGTTACAATGACAAGTGTCCCCATGGCAACAGTTGTTCTGAAACTGACTTCAGCGAAAGTTTAAAATCATCTATAAGTTGGCAACTATGCATTTCCATATCACTGAATTTGGGTTTTTTTCTTTAGTCGTTACCATGACAACTTCTACAACTTGGCAACTACTCATTTTCTTACCACGGTATTTGGGGTTTTTTTACTTGTTACCATGATAAGTATCCCTATGTCAACAGTTTGTCCTTAACTGATTTCAGCTAAATTAAATCATCTATAACTTGACAACTAAGCGTTTCCTCATCACATGATTTAGGTTTTTGTTTAGTCGTTACCATAACAAGCGTCCCTATGGCAACAGTTTCCCCATGACTGATTACAGCTAAACCAAAGGTTAATTAAATCATATAACTTGGTAACTACGCATTTCTTCACCAAAGGATTTGGATTTTTATTTAGTCATTACCATGACAAACGTTCCCATGGCAACAGTTTCTCCACAACTGATTTTAACTAAACTAAAACTATTAAATCATCTATAACTTGGCAACTTCGCATTTCCTCACCACGGAATTTGGGTGTTTGTTTAGTCGTTACCATGTCAAGCCTGGGGGGACAGAATTTATGTCAGCACCCACTGACAAAAGAACTTTCAGAGGTAACGTAGTGGGTTTTTAACAAAAAAAAAACACCTGTGTTTTGTCACATGCACTATCATACATTGTTTCTACTTTAGTCTGAACCATATGGAAAACTTTTTTTATTACTGGTTTTGTGAAAAAATTCATATGTGATAAAAAGTTCTACATGGTCCAAAACTTAAAATGCATCCATCAGATATCAATTTTTTAAGCCGTACACGACTTAAAAAAATTGATATCTGATGGTTGCATTTTAAGTTTTGGATCATGCAGAACTTCTTATCAACAATAATTTTTTTCAAAAAACCAGTATTAAAAAAGTTTTCCATATGGTTTCAACTTAAGTAGACACACTGTATAACTCGGAACGGACAGACAATTCAGAAAAGTCATAATAAAAACAAATTTTCTCCTTACTGATATCTTTCATTTGGCATATATCTTATTCACATTGGGAGGTGGGGCAAAAAGCCCATTCTCCTTCTAGCTTTTATTGAATAAATGAGAAGTTAATATTGTTTAAAATATTTTTATTATCTTACAATACATGTAGGTTATTCAGGAATTTTTATCATTGAAACTATAGGTTTATGGTAACTGAAATAAGAAACATAAGTTTGAGACTTGATATCCTCTAAATATCTGGAAAATACCGCGTCAATGGTGGTCCCATATTTTGACACCGTGCCGAAGTCTGCCGAACTGAAACGACGTTAGACGATGCACGGCTTTCAACGCCGCACCGCTGTGCCGGTTGGAGTGGGGGGTGTTAGGTTTATTTTTGTTACGGAATTTCTTTTTTCGATTTTTCAATTTTTCGAGTTTTTGATTTTTCGATTTTCTTCTGTTGAATAAATGAGAAGTTAATATTGTTTAACGCCGCACTACTGTGCCGGTCGGAGTGGGGGTGTTAGGTTTTTTTCGTTACGGTTTCGTTTTTTTTTTTTTTTGATTCGGTCGCCGCGCTCAAAGCCCGCAATAAAAGCTATGCAATAGCTTAAACAAATTTGCTCAATGCATAGTTGGGTATAAAACACATGACTATTCTGTAGACCCTGGAACAATAAACAAAATATAAATTACAACCGTAATAATTTGGAAATAAACAAACATAACCTCAAAAATAATAGTAATTTTTACCTGAGACGTTTTTCGTTAACAATCGTTGAATTGACACACATACTTCCAATTTATTAAAGTCGCAGTTTTAATTTTTAATAAATACAATACACAATTAAAATTATCTCATGTTGATTTTTAGAATTTGACAGTTTGATTGGAAAGTTGGAAACGTTGAAGATAGAGAATGAAGTAGACAGAGACGATATTCGCGATTCAAACTAAGTGATACGTCTTCTGGAGGAAATTTATAAAAGGTCCCTATAAGTAGGATATCGTTCAGTGTTGCCAGAAGTAGCAAAATTTCGCTACGTCGTCGGATTTTAGCTCTTGAAGAAGTGGATAAGACCTTTTATTTAAGAATCAAAATTTGTGTATAGTAATATGTAATCATACTCTATATTTATTTAAGGGTTTTTTTATAAAACTGATTTATTATATTGATATTTTTTTTTAAATTTCAGTTCATTTATTAATTTTATTTTAAAATCAGTTCATCAATCATCATTTGGCAACATTGGCGTTCGTGTTCATTGTTTACATTTTAATTTGTATCAATTACAATTCGAGTTTTTTCTTACTTTTTAGCTTTAAATTTGTTTATTTCTTATAGTATGTGATAGTGTTTATATTAAAAATGAAATCTGCAAAAAAGCCCCCAGCAAATTGCAATCTATATGGTGTTAATGTCAAAATCAAAACTGAAGTATTTATTATTTTCCAAGTGCAAGTTGTAAAATTTTGTTTCTTACGATAAATGGATATCTACAACTTCACAATATTGAAATTTTGCAAAACTTTGTTTAGAATCAAACTGTAATCTGATTTGTGACGGTTTTACTACCATTTACATGTATACAAAGTACTACAGAATTCACTTCATAATATAAGAATAAGGATAGTAACATTTTTAAATAAGTTTATCAATAATAAACGTTTGGTACCTGAAATGTCCTTTAAACCACATAATAAAACATGTCCTGGGTTTAGTAAATACATATTTCTAGATGTTCTTGTAGCAACCAGTAGGTAAATATTTCCAACAAATTAAGTCATACACATGATAAATATTATATTTATGACGAAAGCACGAAAACTAAACTTAAATTAACACTAAATGAAACTCAAAAACACTGTTACAATGAGAATATTATCTAAAAACAGTTAAAAAATCACAAATAAAAAATCCGCCCAAAACAAACACATTTAAATAAACAAACATCCTACTTATAAGTGACAAATGACAGGCGCGCGAAAATAAATTTTCCTACGACCACTTAGGAAAGTGACACATATCACACTATATAGTCCTATGGAAAGTGCCCTATATCACACGCGTATGAATAAGAATTTACTTTCCACCCGAGTGAGAATATGTTACTTTCCGCAGTAGTTGTCACAAAATGTCAAACACCTAATTTCTATTTTGATCTATGTAATGTCCATATTAATACTAAAATCGATATGATTGTTAAATTATTGAAATCGTTGTAAATTATATCCTAGATATTTATCTTTAACAATTATTATTAAAATAATTTTAAAATAATGTTTGCTCTTTATTCTGGTTAAATACATAACCGATTAGATAATTCAATTGACACAAGGGCTATTAGCTCAGGTGGTTAGGACGTCGAACTTATCAACTTTGCCATTTTTCGACCGCGTTCCAATCCTGCCGGGGCAGATTTTTTTTTTTTATTTTTCTTTTATTTTTTTTTTTGTTTAGAAAATATGAAAATTGAAAAAATACGATTATAGTTGATTATTTTTTTAAATACATTTTAATTATTATAGTAATAATAACCTTGGTTTTACATTTTTTTGATGACATTATTTTGTGGTCGTAGGAAAAATATTGTACATCACTTGTGTGAAAAGTGATTTTCCACACTCCTGTGATAGTCGCACTCGGCTTGCGCCTCGTGCGACAATATTTCCCACTCGTGTGAAAAATGTCACTTTCCACACTCGTAATGTAATATACTATTGAATCGCTAATAAACTCTATTTTGTGATATGACAAATGGAGGCACTTTGAATCATATTTTGATTAATAATTTTAATATAATAAAGTTAATAATTTTATATTTGAAGATTGACGGAATGAAAATGTTTTTATATCATTTAAATCACACTATTCTAAAAAAATTGCATTTATTATCACCAAAACTGACTAGCTCGAGTTTGACATATATCGTAAAAGGGTAATGCAAAAGTGCAGAAACTTTAGTGAAATTACATCTAATTCACCTCTGAGTAAAGTTAAAAGTAACTACTTGTTGATTAAACTATAGGGCTATTATTTGTTAATCTGTCAAGTAAACCTACACGTAATTTTACTTGGAGGTGAAAAGATCGGCCCTTAGTTAAATTTGATATAACTAATGAATCAAAAATTTTGGGTTCAAGTTGCAATAAAATAGGTTGAAATATTTTAGCCTTTTTGAGATATGTAAATAATTTTGTAAACAAAACGAGAATAATGAAATAGGTACGACAACCACCCTATATTATACCCTCCTGTGTCCCTTAGAATATGGCTATTAACGATAGCATGGTATTTGTTTGTAGTAACATCTCCTGTTATCTTTGGCCCTTGTCCACCGCTACCTTTTCAGATCCACTTCGGGTCTCCATCATCTAGCTAGAGAGTCGTCTAGCTGAATGTTTTTTGATATGATCTAGTTTTAGCCATAATTTGTACTATCACAACTCCATCTCACCTAGCTAAACATAACTGAAGTGCAAAACCATACAAAAGAAAGCCGCCACATAGCATAGTGATCTAAGCTATTCTGAAACAAAATTCTTGGACAAAATTATGGAAGCGATTTTTCCAAGTGCAATAGTTAAATCCTAAAAATTAACCTTACAATGTTGCCACTTATTAAAGTAGCAACAAAACATTTTATTTCTCAATTTAATTAGCTTTTGTCATATATTTTCTAAATTTTTCATTACTTATATTTTCTTTTCATTGGAGAATTTCCTAGTATTTTTTCACTTTTTTTTTGTAGGCCTGCACTCAACAAACAGTTTTTTCTGGTTCTAATTACTGGAATTTTAGTAGGATGGCTCATAGCGCATCTCTCCAATTCCAGTAGTAATCGACAAAGCTTGTTAACTGATCCTCATACTAGTACCGATTTGGAAAAAATGCATGGGCCAACCTTTGATCCAGGTTACCATAATGACAATGAAGAGTTCCATAACATGGAGGATCCATCGATTGCTAATAAGTTGCGTGAGAATGTTAGAATATTATGTTGGATTATGACAGGTCCCAAAAATCACAAGAAAAAAGCCAGGCATGTTAAAAATACATGGGGTAGGAGATGCAATATTTTATTATTTATGAGTTCAGTAGAAGGTATGTAAAAAGTCACATGTCCTTATGTGATTTAAATTTTTTAAAACCAACCAAATCGTGGCATTTTGAAATTAATTTTAGAGAAAATATGGTTTTTATAATTTTTAATGTCAGAACTACATTATTTCCAATATTATCTTTGTCAGTTGTTATAGTAAATTAACAAACGATTTGTATAGACAAATTTAATTATTTTTGAATATTAATACATTACAAATTTATTGTAGACAATTCTCTACCAACCATCGCTTTACCAGTAAAAGAAGGACGAGATTACCTTTGGTTAAAAACAAAAGAAGCTTTTAAACATGTCTATAAATATTATTTGAATTCTGCTGATTGGTTTTTAAAGGCTGATGATGATACGTATGTTTATTAAATTTATTAGTGTTATGTGTATGTTATAAAAACGTTTATTTTTTAGATATGTGATAATAGAAAATTTAAGGTATATGTTGTTACCTCATAAAACCAGTGAACCAATATATTTTGGATGTAAATTTAAACCTTATGTTAAACAAGGTTATATGAGTGGAGGAGCAGGTTATGCTCTAAGTAGAGAAGCTCTTAAAAGATTCATTGAGGTAGGTATAGATTTTAATAAATTCTGCCTTTAATGCCACTTTTCATAGTGCAAGTTTCATACATTAAATTTTTAATAATGTTTGATGGTATTTTCATGCTGTAAAATAAATAGAAGCTTGTTTGTGCTAGTTTGCGAAATTTTATAATTATTTGTGGGATATCAAACTGGCAAAACAGTTCTGTTGGGAATTGCTTAGGCAAATAGTGAGGATATGATTTGTGTATTTTGAGTTAAAGTTAAAAAAGAAAGTACTTATTATTATTATTAAGTGGTACAATGGTATTGTAACGTTTGTTTAATTTATTTATTTAAAACACTTTTTTTACAATTTATTTATAACGTACTTTATAATTTATATAATATTTTGACACTATTATAACTCACAATTCTAATTTATTACAATTTATCTTCTCTATACAGCGCTTAAATTGAAACTTCTTGTCCGTCGACGAACTCGTGCTATTTATATAAAACCAGCTCTGTACTAGAACTCTCCAGGCTTTCCAGAACGATCGAAAACTGCCTTTATATGACTCCTACACCGTACCGCGATCATTCTGACAGTTTCGAGAAGCGGGCAAGGAGTAAAAAAATTTTTAACAGTTCACAAATGATCTATATTAGAAACTAAGATAAAAACAAATGCAGCGGATCTCGCTATTCGCTGCTGTCCTACTGCAGGCTGTTGGACTTATTGCTGGTGTTCTAGCAGGTTTTTCTATTCATTTATTTCTGTTATAGACCGGGAGCTGCTGCCTTAAAACTGATTTTCAGATTTGATGTGGATCGATAACACTATTTAATTTTTTTTTGTCTGACATCTCAAACCGTAGGCATTGAGACATTAGAAATTGTCGAATTTTAAAAAAGGACCAACATTTACGTCACAAGGTATAATAAAAAACATCTGATTTTGTGCGAAAAGGGTCATTTAGTTTAAAACAGTGTCGAAAAAACAAAATATTTTTTAAAAAAGTAAAATAAGACTCTCAAATGTGACTTAAAATAAAATAAAACGCAAATTAATTCTGATGCCTTGGTAGGATTCCCCACCCGACCATTCACTGTTGGGTTCTAATTAACAGTGCTGTTCCTAAAGTGGCGTTGGGAAATAGTAACAAAGCCTACACAGAACACGAGGCTAATGGCCTTAGTAGTCGATGCCGATGACACCAAATTAAAAAAAAAACGCAAATACATGTGTCATAAAATAGTAGCGACTATTTCCCTTCGGAAAACAACTACTCTTTTGGCTAATTCTAGGGTTGCATCACTGAAGCAGTAACTGTTATTTTTGAAACAGGTTTTTACTTGGAACAGATTGGAACATGTATGCATCGAATCACGAAACAGTTGCACGAAACAGTTGCATGGAACAGTTGTTTCGGTCTGACCATGGTCCGACGAAGGGCGAAGATTCAGTTTATTATTTTAAGTTTCTACTTGCTGTCACAGTTGCAGAGCGCAAATTGCGTGGAACTGGAACAACTTGTTATTAGGCATTACCGGCATTGGCATTATTAATATTAATTACTGTGACAGTTGCCTGTTGCAGTATAGCAATCACAGACTAGCCTATACAGTAATATTGGAACAACTTGAGATTTATTATTAAATAATGAATATTATGGAATCTGTGACCTGTTATTTTTCTGAAATGAAACAAAAATTAAAATAAGGTTATATGAGACATATCTAAGCAAAAAGACGCATTAATAATAAATAGATGTTTAAATTATGTAATAATATTTAATAACAACTATCAAGTTGTTCCTAGTTCCTAAATTTCTACAGAATACTACATATTGAAATTTGTTATAAACTGTAATAGTCTTTTGAGATGATAGTAATAGTAATAATAGTTTAACATTAATACATATTTGACATATTTATCTTTGACACCGTGCTAGGTTTAGTGACTCGATTTTTAAAATTGCTTCATTGAATTTAATATTTTTCTTAGTAAGCCAATCTGCAATCTGGGCTTTTCTTCATTTGGTGGTTGGTAACTGTTCTACACGCCGGCTGTTGTATGGAGCGTTATCCATAACAATAACAGATCCTGGTTCGATTTTTAAAAGAATATCTAAAAACAATTCCGGTCTCTGTTGATGAAATCCCTATCAGCGCGCCTATGACACCGCTTCAACGATAACATCCAAGCAAGATTCAAATGCATTGTTGCCAATAACGTCGCTTTAATCTGCGACGACAGTATGGATCTCGGAACATTATCTACCGTTAGATAAAGATGCATACTACACGCTGGCAACGTTCCATTTTACCAATCGCTTGGAAGACGTTTGAACAGTTTAAAAATAGACCAGTCAAATTATTTCAAGAAAATGATATCTATCTGTACGTAGTCTTTGAAGAGTGAGTAGAAGGAAAAGGTTTTAGTAGAAGAAGATTTTTGTAAATTTGTAAGAGATTAAATAAATTTTGCAATACCCCACTAATTTGTTTATTAATTAATACTGAATATTTTTCCTTTTGTCGGTATTCAAAAATCAACAACTAAAAATAACTTTTTTTGTACAGGGTAAACGTTTAATTTGATTGGCCTATAAAATTTATTTACAACATGAGTACTATCTATAATTGTGGTATTCTACTGTACACTGTCCCACAATAGATCTGAAAAGGTCGCGGTGGACAAGGGCAAATAACGTCCAACTCCTAATCTAATCTACTGTGCACTGCGACTGTGACAGGTACACTTAAAACATCAAACTGTTCCATCGACGTGGAACTGTTTTGCTTTAGTTTTAGTGTTTCTGTGTGTGTAATACTCCGCACTCGCTAGTCGCAACAGACGCGAAACAACAAACAACAGTTTAAATTTTTGGAACAACTTTGAACTGAAACAGGTTTTTTGAAACAGGTATTTTATGAAACTGAAGCAGACTGTACCTGTTATTGAAAAATCACTGTTTTCCCTTCCCTAGCTAATACCTCAACAGGTATTGAATTATATCCAATGGAAAGACGGCAAAGAGAAATTAAATTTCAACACTCTACCTTTGATTTTGCTCACTAAGAAGAACCTCATTCTTGAACCTTATTAGGAGTCTTCAGCAAGAAATAGATGATTCCAGTCTCTTATGGAATTACATTACATTAATGTTGCTTATGAAGAGATAAGTATTGAGGTAGTGAAAATGGTGTCGCCATCTGTTCCTAGTAAGCAAAATCAAAGGTCGGAACCAAAAAGCCAAGCAGAAAAACCTTTCCAACTTAAATGTGACCAAGACGTAAAATAAAATGTAACGCAATATGTCACAAAATAGGATCGACCGTTTCTCTTCGGAAAACAACTACTCCTTTTGCTAATACCTCAACAGATATTGAATTATATTCAAATGAAAGACAGCAGACAGAAATTAAAATTCAACATTCTACCTTTGATTGTAATGATTTTTTTGCAAGGTTGTTCCTTACTAAATGTACTACCCAGAAAATATTCATAAGACAAAATATTTGGGGGCTTAGTTGCTTTAAGACAATGGTTATTGGAAAAAAAGGCCGATATTTACGCGTTAATTTATAAGAATAAAACCAATTTGATTTTGTGTGAAATTAATGAATCTCTAATCTAGATCACACAAATACCGGTATGTTCCTGCACATCTTAGCTCTATCCTTGTCACATGATATAACGTCACCTGGCATAAAAATCCGACGCATCTACCTACATAGATAAATACAAGTAACGATACATTTTCGATATTAAAAAACTGTAACATTACTTGATTGTTAAAGGTTGTGTTTTTTTATGAAGTGAAAGTAGAAAAGTTATTGTATAAGTACAAATATTGCACAAATCTTATGAACATTTAGTTCATTTATTATTGCAACTAAAACAAGAATAAGATATGTGATAAAGTACAATAAGCATAGACACTTTATTTTAAAGAAATGTATCTTCCATAAGTTCATAACAACGAATGAAAAATACAGCATTTTAAGAGTTTCTATATCTAAAAACTCCCTACTAACACGTAACAAAAACCCATACATTTTTGATGCAGTAGATATAATTTTTTCAGTGTGTAATATAAATGAGAGCTTTGGATCAAAAGTTATACCAAGATCAATAAAATGTTCAGGTCTTTGTAGAGATCACTTGTTTATCTCGTAGTTAAATAAAATAATATCCGGTTTTAATGAAAATGACATTATAAAACATTTTGATGCATTTAAAGGGAGAAGGTTTAAACGACACCAATTTTCGACTGATTTTATGTTATTATGCATACGTTCACAGTCAGTATTGGAAGAAAATCATCTGCATATAAAAGACAATTTACATCAATGCACTCCACGATGTCGTTAATAAATATAGTAAAAAGCAGAGGAGCAAGGACAGATCCATGCGGCACCCCAGACGTTGTAAGGGATTCTACAGACTTAAAACTGTTTAAGAAAACATACTGTTGACGATTTTGCAAATATGAACGTTTTATGACAGACTCTGACAACCCGTAATCGATAAGTTTGTTTATGAGCATCCCATGATCAAGTCTTTCAAACGCCTTTGAAAAGTCTGTATACACAACATCAGTTTGCAGTTGATTGTCCATATTTTCTGCAATATGCTGTGTGCATCTAACGAGGTTTGTTACAGTAGATCGACATTTTACAAAACCATCTTGATGGGATGATATCATGGGTGAAATATAATAGTCTAACAGCCGTATGCATAGTCGATCGCCAGAGATTCATTTCGGCGTATCGCCAGCGATTCGCTGGCGATCCGCCGGCGAAAGCCCAAAAAGCTGGCGACTCGCCGGAGATTGTCACCGGAATGTCATTTCACGCAAGTTTTCATGTTCTTCATGTCATCTACATCATTAAATACTTCCAAAAATTCCCAGTTAATTTTGCTAATCATATCATACAGCATAACGTAATTTGCTTTACAGAAGTTATAACATTTTTCAAATGAAACTGCATGATTTCGTTTGGAACAAACTTTGGCGTTGAATTTGCATGATATTTCAAGAGCCGGATGATATAATGATATAATTCCTTCATCCCATTGTCTTTTTTTGGCTGATCGTAGATTACGTTCTTCACATTGCCTTTTCTGGATTGCTGCGGGAAATTTGGGAATACTTTGAAACAGGAGACTTCGAAGTGTACAGAGTAAATACGAGCTACAAAAAAAAATTAGTCACAATATATGTACATGAAATTTATGTTTATTTTGTTTATGCAACAGAATCAACATTTTACATGACCATTGACACTAAGTATTATTAAATGTGAATCAAATTTTTCATTATTTAAATAAAAGCTCTTACCCTTTTTTAAGTTCATTGTCCCTTCTTGGTGACACGCTACAATCCACTGCTTAGCCAGATCATCATTCTATGGAAATTGCTGAAGAGATCATCACACTTTAATTTAAACCCTTTAAAAACATCCAAAAATGGGAAACACAAAATCAAAACACTTTAAACTCTTCAAATAGGTACTTCAAAAATGAACAATACACAAGTAAAATACTTTTAACACTTATTTAAAATTCCAAAAATGAACACGTATCATTATATCTTTATAATTAGAAATAAAACAGTATTTCAAAATAATTCTTATTCAAACGTCAAACAAATACTGTTTACTTTATGCCACGTTACGTCATGCGCGGAAAGTGCATTTTGGTCGAATTTGCAGCATACCGGTATTTGTGTATCGTGGCCCAAAAGACAGTTTTGAAATTTCAAAGAAAAAAAGACAAATTTGTGTCATGAAGTATACAAACTAAAAGAAAAAGAACGTCTCAACCTACGAAAACTACTAGACTAATCTATTCATTCATATTAAGCCCTTTTTTATTGCAATCATTCAGAGTGGGTTTATTATTGCCCAGCCAGCAGTGTCGTATCGGCTGCCGCATTAGAAAGAAGGAAACTGCTTCTAATTTGAGTGGGGATGATTTGTGCGAGTATGTTTATCTGAAGAGCGTATTACGAATGAATCAGTATTTACGTCTACTACGCTTGCTTAACATTGCTGTCACATTTCAAAATTAATTTCATACTTTCCTGAAGAACACTATACAACTAAAATAGTTGCAACAAGAAAAAATACATTAAACTGATAATAACTGGCATCAAGAATGTACATGTACGTCTCTAATGTAATTTTGAAAGCCTTTTGTGCGCTTTAATGCCTTAGTCAATACCGAATTATAACCACATAATCCTTGTAACAATACTCTCCCATAATTGACAGCTACGTGTATGACACCTTGAATGTTTGCAATTCAAGTTTTGTAAACAAAATTAGTCTTATTAGCTGTTCATCTTTGGTTCAGATGATTCTCATAATAAATCGGAAGAAGTCTGAATGTAATAAACATTACTTGTTTTTATTGTTTTTACTTTGTCAGATAACTTGCAGCTTACATTTTGTTTTCGTATTTTATTATGTATATTTTATATAATTTTGTATTAAATAAGAAGCAAGAAAACAGGTTTATTTATATTTTGAAAATAACCATTGTTCTTTTTAGATTGGATTAAACAATGCTACAAATTGTTACAAAGGTTTCAATGGAGATGAAGATGTCGAAATGGGAAAATGTATGGAAGCTGTAAACGTTACAGCCGGTGATTCCAGAGATTCTTTAGGCAGGGAAAGATTCTTTCCTTTCGTACCGGAACATCACTTGATTCCTGGTCATGTACCGAAAAATTTTTGGTTTTGGAAATTCGTCTACTACGAGCACAAAGAGGTAGACTATATTTTATTTTCAGCAATAATCAATTTGTATTTGACATACCAGTCAAAATAATTTACTGTTTTAGGGTATGGAATGCTGCTCGGATAATGCCGTTTCTTTTCATTATGTTAGCCCAAACCAAATGTATGTTTTAGAGTACCTAATATATCATTTAAGGCCGTACGGCATAAACTTTAATGTAGAATTGCCGGATCAATTAAAGGAAAAATATATTGGTTATGAACCACCAGATACGACTACATAATAATAAAATCGAGAAAAGGAATAATTTATGTTTCTTAGTCAGTAGATGATAAAACCAAAGATTATTTTGTACTTTTGTAAATGGTTAAAAGGATTGAGAAATGAAGAGTGTTTAACACAAATACATTTTAAATTTTCTTTAAAGAAGAAGAAAAATCAATTGGGGGTAATCCCAAAGGGCTATTACTTGGGCCTTTCAACCCATTTTTTTTTATTTTCAAAGTTAATTCAAAATTGTGTGATGGTGAGATCTTTATAAATTGACGTTATTTTTATTGCTTTTAAAATAATTGAATGGTTTTTTCTTTGGTGTTTTCTCCAATCGAGACCTAAAACTACTTTTTGTTTGTTTATTGTATGAGTCCATTAAATATAAAACTCTGTGTTTGCATCATTTCGAATAATCTGCAAAAAAAAATTCTTACAGAACACTTTTCAGAATTAGTTGCAATATTGTTGGGACGTTATTTCAAATATTTCTTGGTGTTACATAGTGTAATATCGTCTGGTACCGATTGAGTTCGGGCGAGAAGAAACTTTTGCTACATCAAATTTACTCCTCGATATGGACATCCTCAGCCCAACGCTGTCGTTTCAGCACAAATGAGAGAGAGTTTCCAAAGTCGAGTTAGCTATGTTCCTCAGAAGGTCAGCTGCAATCGGAAAGCAATGAACATCTATTTCTCAGTGCTGATACGCAACTCTCTGACTCATAGAATGGCTTAGGCTTATGAATACCTGAGGGGAGCACGGTAAATAAGAAAGTTTCTGGGACTAGGAAAACAACTAATGTGGTTAGAAGATGACATGCCTAAATCTGAATCGGGACGTGCTGGAACAAGAATATTATTTAAATTGTTAAATTAAATTGCATTATTACACATTAATTTATTACTTTTTATATCAGAAAAAGTAATCAAATCATTTGAAAAAATGTAGTATCAGTGGTGTCGCTTGACTACTCAGAACCCCTTAGTGTTCATCAATTCAGGATCGAGGAACAAATCATCTGGCGCTTGAAAATTCCCCCACAGAACTCCACCGTTGGCTTGATGAGCCGTGAAAATTAGGATGGTACATTGGGATTCGGGTATATGAAATAGGGAACTAACTACAATAAAACACTGATGAATTTACGTAGTAAACATTGAGCTCAAGTTTGCCATACGCGAGGGACTCCTAGTTGTATAACTCAACTGAAAGAGATATGAACAAAAAATTTGGAACCTTTTCGGAGATTAACAAAAATGTATGCGGGTGTAGATGTACCTAATTCTTAACAAAGATGTTATGTGTGTGCAGTTAACTTCCACTACACTGCCTTGAGGTACTCCGGATTTTAGTTGACGGTAGTTGGATAAAGTTTCTTCATATTTAACTTGGAAGAATCTGTTAGACAAATATGATTTCAGGAGAAGGTATGATTGGTCGGGTAGATGGGTTTTGATTTTAACGAAGAGACCCTCATGCCACACTTTATCGAATGCTTGCTGTATATCAAGAAATGCTTATATACAGATTCGTTTTTCTTTTAAGCTCTCTTTTATTCTGTTGACTAACCTGTGGCACTGTTGTATGATTGAGTGACTTTAGTGAAATCCAAACTGGTGATCTGGGATCAGATTTTCTAGAGGTATTGTTGTTTCTATTCTGTTGAGAATAAGCCTTTCAAAGACTTTTGATAAAGTCGAAAGGAGACTTATTGGTCGGTACGAACTAGCTTCAGTTGGAGATTTACCAGGTTTAGGTATCATTATAATTTGTGCATACTTCCATTGCACTGGAAAATAGCATAGCCTAAGGAGGCTATTGAAAATGAAAGTTATCAGGACGATACCTTCTCTTGGGAGATTTTTTAAGATTTCGCCAGTTATAAGGTCAAATCCGGGAGCTTTGTGCGGGTTGAGAAGTATGATTTCATTGCGAACTTCACTCGGTGAGAAGTATTTCAGTGGTAGTGACAACTAACAGGGGGCATTAAGGAGGGCTCTAATTTCATCGTCATTGATATCGTGAGGTTGTGGGGCGGAGAAAACAGCTGATAAATGTTCTGCGAATCTATAGGATTTTTCTGGATCAGACCAAGCCCAAGTTCCGTCGATTTTTTTTAATTGGAGATTTGACTACTATTGGTTTCTTAAATTTTTTTGTGGCTTTCCAAAGGGAGTGGTCGTCAAGAAATAGGTTGGTAACATATGTTTCAAACGATTCGTTTTTGGCAGTTTGGATAGCACAGCGAAGTCTGCGTGAGTCTGTTTAGATTTGTTTTATCTAATGGATTTCTTGTTGTTTGCCACTAGTGTTCTAATGTGGTTAAGTATACTGCATATTTCTTCAATTATTTTTTCATTTACAGGAGTAGCTTCCCATGCGGCACTTTGAATTTGTTCTGTTAGGTATTTTACAGCTTCTTCAATGTCCTTTTTGTCTTGTATGTCTAGAGATATTTTTTCATTGATTTTATCATGAAACTGATTCCAATTTGTGTTTCTGGAGCAGAGCCTTGGTGCAGGTGTTTTCCAAATTATACTAGTACTTAAGGTTATTATGATAGGACTGTGATCCGAGTGTAAATCGAAACTGGGGGTGATGTTGCTGTATATTTCAAATATACCTTTAGTTATGGCGAAGTCTAGTAAGTCAGAATATTGTTATCGGTAGGCTAGTATGTGGGGTACCTGTTGATAAGTATTTTTGGTTGTTTTCTTGAATGCTTTTTAGTAGAGTTCTGCCTTTTGGGGTTATTAGTGTTGCTCCCCAGGTTCTGTGTTTGGCGTTCCAGTCGCCTGCTACTAGGAAATGAGATCCAAGTTGTCCAAAGAACTCTCTGTATTCCTCAAGATTGATGGCTATTGTTAATGGACTAGTGAGCACTTTTATAATAGTGCTCTGAATTTTGTTGGTAATATATTGTGGAAGTTTATAGTGTTTTATAGCTGTTCGAATTATTATAGCTGAGCCAGCATGGGCTGTTCCATCCGGATGGTTAGCGTAGTAAACAGAGTAATACGGGATTTTAATGAAAGACCTCTCGGCTGTGTGACTCTCAGTGATGAATAGGATGTATATTTTGTTTAGTTTTAAAAATAGTGTGATTTCTTGCACGTGGTTTGTTAAACCATTTGCGTTCCACTCGGCTATTCTTAGTGAGTTAGCCATTAAGATGTTCTATTTATCACGGTTGTGAGCATGCTTTTCACATTTAAATAAAAAAAAAAGAAAATAGTTTTGGAACTCATTTGATAGGTCGATGCTAAAAATACCTACCTATTTATACCAATAACTCCATTTTAGATTGTTTTTTTTTTTTTCAAATACAGAATTTTGCATTTAGGGGACTCATATGGCATGAATTTAATGTTTATACTGTGTTTTTATGTAGTGAATAAATTAATTTTTAGCTAAAATACCCATTTTTAAGGGACTTCCTGAAACAGGACGTTTTCAAATTTCAATTTGCCACATTTTGAACAAAAATGATTTCTGCAATGTTTTATGATTTTTAAATTTAATTTTTTGAACCACATACCTCTCTTCAGTTACTTAATTTCAATGAGTTGCTCTCGTCCCTAGTTTTTAGTTTTTTTATTATAGTGTTAAGTTTCACTTACCACACCACTGTAAAACCACAATAATTCATTAAAGATTGATTGTGGTATTGATTTAATGTTTCATTTTTATCGATAATTACTAGTGCTTACTTGTGTAGGAAATATAATTACGTGCACGTAAAAACTGATATTTGTAAACCGCCGATTATGTGCAGTGTTGTCAAATGTATAAGAATTAAGATCAATTTGCTGTATAATATGGTGCTTTAGGTTATTTAATATAATAATACCATAAATCACTAAATATTGGTGATATGCTGGGAAGTGGTCAATAACCGTACTGCTTAGGTGTCCCACCTAAAAAAAAGTTGCCACTGACGTTACATGTGTATTCAATATGCGGCAAATTCTAATTAAAAATTTGCTAAAAATTAATTTATTCACTATTTTACGAAAGCAGTGTATAGTGAATGTTAAAACTATTTTTTTTAGTTCCTTGAATTTGTGCGTTATATTAATTTTGTATCTAACTATATTTATTTATTATTATATCAAATTAAACATTCATTTTAATGCTTAATGATTTTTAATATATGTTTTGTTTTTCAATATGGATTTAACATCAAAGAAAATAACGAACTTTTAGTGTTTTTATTTCCGTAATATTATATTATATTGTAATTTTAAAATGATCTCTAATTATTAAACAATCATTAGGTTGACGTTCAGATAATAGTATAGAAATTGACTTGTACAATTTTAAATAGTACAACTACATTGAAGCCACTAGAGTGGTTCAGGCAGTACAAGTTTATTTAATGTAATAATTAACTCACCTTTTAATTGATATTTGCCAATTCTGATTGAATGTGACTAAAACTTTGTAAAGTTTACATCACCAGTAATTAGTTATTTTATACAAATATAAAAATATTTAACCATATACAAACATAATATATCTCAATATTTATATTAAATATTTTTCTTTCAGAATACAAACAGATTGATTCAAAAAAGAAGCATATTGCTCAAAATATGTTGTTTATTTTTGAATCACTCTGTATTGTATGACGATGACGATGTTTAGATATTTGATTATAAAATATCGATGCATCATAAGGAAAGGTTTTATAAACAATTTTTGTGCCATAAAAAATAATAAAATTGTTTTTCTAGTCCCATACACAGTGGCTCACTAAAAAAGTATTAAATATGTTTAGCCACAAGATATATAATACTTGTAATGAACATTTATAGAAATATTTCATAAGAGCTAACATATTTCAGCAGCAATATATTGATCAGTATTCTCTTAAGGACGGCGTTTGGCCATATCTCGAGAACCGTTTGGGAAGAAAACAAAATATTTTTATCTTTGTAACGTGCCGCTATGTCGCGCGGTATATCATTTACAAAATATAATAATTGTGTTTTTCATGAAAAAAATCTT